CTAGCAGGCGCCGGGGGTCCTGGCTGGAAGTGAGAGGTTGATAACCTCAGAGGATCTCAGTCCTGTACTGGCCAAGGACAAGGACCCTTCAGTCCTCCCGTCATGTCACCTGGCACGGGTTGTGGACCTTCTCTGTGCCGGACACTCTCTAGAGCTTTGTTTTAACTAATTTAATTACAGTTTCTAAGGTCAAATGTATTTTTGAAGTTAATGTTTATCTTAAAACTTTCCACAGAGTAGAGGGAGAAACTAACAACCCAGCTATAGAAGTCAGTTTGTGTTGTGGCCAGATCATAGCTGGGCAGGAGTGGGGCTGAGTGAGAGCTGGGAGTGAGGGTGGGGGTGTAGGGAGGGTGCATGTACACATTTCCCAACCAGGAGGCTAGGGGGCTACTGGGCCTTGGGAAATCTGGACTCTTCTCTCCAGCCTCCCCAGCTTTAGGTGGGAGGTGCGGAGAGTCTACCTGATCTTGTATCTGTATCGTACTGTCTCCCAAGAGTTCTGAGAGCAGACCTAAATTTCCTGCCCCTTATTAACCTGAAGGAGTCAGTGTGGTGCAGGGAGGGTCCCCACATGGCTGGTCAAGATGTGTCCTCTGCTGGTTCAAGCCTCCCCCTGGTGATGGGAGGTAAACTGTGGGATCTGAGATCCAGATGAGGCAGGAATGGGTTGAAAGAGGGCACCTGGGTGGTGTGTACTTTTCTATATTACTCTATGTACTAATTTTGATATTTCAGGAAAGTAAAGATTCAGATATCACCAAGGGCATTTATTTATACGTAAAAGCTTATGCAACCTGATAAAAAATTTTACGAGTAGTTCTAGGCGAGGAATCTGTAAACATTTTCTTAAAGGACTAAATAGTAAATATTCTAGACTTTGTGGGACAAGAAGCAAAATTGAGAATCCAACCATTCAAAAATGTAAGTACCGTTCTGAGCTTGGGGGGTGGGGGCCCGTGAGCTGATTCCTACTGGACTACCTTCTTAGCCCTCTGGTGATCCTGGGTTTTAAGGTGTTTTTTCTGCTTAGATTAGGTTGGAAAAGTAGCACATTTCTCTCTGGAAAGATGAAAGCTGATCAAAGTTAAGTCATAAAAGGTGTCAATACCCATTTATCTAAGCTCAGGGTACCAGATCTGTGGAAAGAACAGTTTCAGATCAAGTAAAAAGAAGTTCGAGTTTCATATTATTCTTAAAAACTTTGTTACCTCAAATACTTGAGAAACCAGTTTATTGAGTTTAAGGGGTCACAGATGTCAATTTCTAATTGCTGCCTTCTGTAGTGTGATATGTATACTTCCTTTGGTGCCATAAGGTAAAATCCAGGTGCCCTAACTTGGCTACACACTTTCAGGAAACCAACGTGTGTGTGCCTGGGCACAGTCACACCAAGAGTGGTGTCAGGAGAAGCGTTGTGAAACAGAGAGGTGACTTTTTTTTTTTTTTTTTAAAGATTTATTTATTTATCTGACAGAGACACAGCGAGAGCAGGAACACAAGCAGGGGGAGCACAGGAGAGGAGAAGCGGGCTCCCTGCTCAGCAGGGAGCCCGATGCGGGGTTCGATACCAGGATCCTGAGATCATGACCTGAGCCGAAGGCAGATGCTTAACAACTGAGCCACCCAGGCGCCCCCAGAGAGGTGACTTTTTTAAAGTGATAGTCAACTATCAGAATTTCAGAGCACAACTCAAAAAATCTAACAGTCAATTAAAAATGGGCAAAGGACTTCAATAGACATTTTTCCAAAGAAGATATACAGGGGCCAACAAACACATGAAGAGATGCTCGGTTTCATTAGCTATCAGAGAAATGCAGGTCAGAACCACAATGAGGTATCAATCAGGTCGCATTCATTAGAATGGCTATTTAAAAACAAAAATGATCATGAGTATCTATGAGACTGTGGAGAAGTTGGAATCCTTGTGCACCGTGGGTGGGAATGGAGAATGGTGTAGCCTCTGTGGAAAATCCTATGGCAGTTTCTTAAAAAAGTTAAACATAGAATTACCATAAGATGTAGCAAGCCCACTTCTGGGCATATCCCCAAAAGAATGGAAAGTGGGGACTTGGTATTTGTATACCATGTTCACAGAAGCCAAAAGGTGGAAGAAACCCAGGTGCCCACTGAAGAATAAATGGCTAAACAAAATGTGTATCTATACAGTGAAATGTTATTCAGCCTTAAAAAAGGAGTTTTTTTTTTTTTTTGAGACAGCGTGTATGTGTGGCAGTGGGGGGGCAGATGGAAAGGGAGGGAGAAAGAATCTCAGGCAGGCTGCACACCCAGCTTGGAGCCCAATGTGGGGCTTGATCTCACAACCCTGAGATCATGACCTGAGCTGAAGTTGAGAGTCAGATGCTTAACTGACAGAGCCACCCAGGTGCCCCCAGCCTTCAAAAAGGAAATTCTGGCCCGCTGGGTGGCTCAGTCGTTAAGCATCTGCCTTCGGCTCAGGTCGTGATCCCGGGGTCTTGGGATCGAGCCCCGCATCGGGCTCCCTGCTCCGTGGGAAGCCTGCTTCTCCCTCCCCCACTCCCCCTGCTTGTGTTCCTGCTCTCGCTTTCTCTCTCTCTCTGTCAAATAAATAAAATCTTAAAGAAAAAAAAATTCTGACACCCACTACAGCATGGTTGAACCTTGAGGACATTATGCTATGTGAAATAAGCCAGTCACAAAAAGACAAATACTATGAGACTATTTATATGGTGTCTCTAGGGTAGTTAGATTCACAGAGCAGAAAGTAGAACGGTGGGTGACAGGGGCTAGGGGAGGGGAATGAGTTGGTGTTTAATGGGGACAGAGTTTCAGTTTGGGAAGATGAAAAAGTGCTAGAGATGGGTGGTGGTGATTGTTGCAAAATAACATGAATGTGCTTAATGCCACTGAGCTGTACACTTAAAAATGGTTACAATGGTACATTTTATATTGTGTGTATTTTACCACAGTTTTAAAAAGAGATCAGGGATTCATAAAGAAGTGCTTGTAATTATGTTATAGCACCATCTTCTTTGCATTAAAATCCAAAAGTTGATTTTGATTTTTCTTGGGAGGGGGAGTTCCCCCCCCCAAACAAAGCGCAGTTTTCTTGCATTTAAGTTGGTTGTTGCCTACATGAAAAAAGTACGTTAAAGTAGTGGCAGAAGCTGTGAAATGGTGTTCTGGTCTGGGCTGACCCCCTACTTACAACCCAAATTCACCACTGCAATTTCCAGAATGTCCCCTAGGGGGCAATGCACCCACAATTCCTGCCTCCCCCCCAAGTGAACTGCTGTCTTTTTTTTTTTTTTTTAAGATTTTATTTATTTATTTGACAGAGCGAGAGAGCACAAGCAGGGGGAACAGTAGAGGGTGAGGGAGAAGCAGGCTCCCCGCCAAGCAGGGAGCCCGATGCGGGGCTTGATCCCAGGACCCTGAGATCATGACCTGAGCCGAAGGCAGACACTTAACCATCTGAGCCACCCAGGTGCCCCCCCTTTTTTCTTTTTTAAGATTTTATTTACTTAGGACGCATGGGTGGCTCGGTCGTTAAGCGTCTGCCTTCGGCTCAGGTCATGATCCCAGAGTCCTGGGATCGAGTCCCACATCGGGCTCTCTGCTTGACGGGAAGCCTGTTTCTCCCTCTCCCACTGCCCCTGCTTGTGTTCCTGCTCTCGCTGTGTCTCTCTCTGTCAAATAAATAAAATCTTTAAAAAAAGAAAAAAGATTTTATTTATTAGAGCGCAGTCCATTTGCAGGGGAGGGGCAGAGGGGGAGGGAGAGGAAGAGGAAAAGAATCCCAAGCCAAGTAGGCAGGGGGTGGGGGGTAAAGCTCAATCCCACAACCTTGAGATCATGACCTGAGTTGAAACCAAGAATCCGAGGCTCAACCCACTGAGACACGCAGGAGTCCCTGAACTGCTGTCTTTAGAATCTTACAGGTGATTTGGCTGGAGCAGTGGAGAGGGAAGGGTCCTGTGGGCACTGCTGGCTTGAGCTGCACTGGCCTGAGCTGGCCCCACATGGCATGGCTCTAGGTGGCAGGGGCTCTTTGAGGGAGGGGGGCCAGTGTCTGATGCTCTCTCACAGTTCAGAGAAACCTGGTGCCTGCCCTGGGGCTCCTGTCATTCCTCCCTGCCCTCATCACCACTCCAGGCCCTTGCTGCCTGACCTAGCCTCATGTGGGAGATGTGTCATCCGCACAGGAGGGGGGAGATGACAAGGACTGTTGACTGCCACCCGAGGTTCCTGGGGATGGCTTTAGGAATGCCTGTTACTCTCTGGTGAGCTGAATCCGTGTGCCTCTGAATGGGCATGTGAGCTCAGAAGTGCCTGTGAAATTCATGGCTGTTGTTAAAGTTGCCTGTTTGTATGTTTTTGCTGTTGTAACATATAAAAGGTAATACATGTAGTAAGGTTATAGCCTGAGTTCAGAAGGTTATCCCAAACATTGAACTTCTAATTCGTAATGAAGAAGGGCTGCCTTCTAGATAGGGAAACTGGCAGTGAAGGAAGTATGTTGACTAACGAGGGAACTGCTCGCTCACATTTCCAGTGGACACAGCCTTTACTTTTGGCTTAGGCTTTGGCAGGAACCTTCACTCTGGTGGGATTCCAGGCCCTCTGGCCCGACATTGTGCAGCTGTCCCTAGAAGGGATTGCAACTGCTTTGTAAAAAGTCATCTTGCTCCTTGTGGCCCCCCGTCCTGGGAACAAAGCGTCTTCTTCAGCATCCTGGTTTGGTCATGGCTCCGTGACCAGGTGGGGTTGGACCTGGATATGCGGGAGGCAGGGTGGATGACCTACACCACCAGTGCCCTGTTTTTGGCCAGGTAGGTTTAAGAGGGAGGTGGAGAGTGTGAAAAGTCCAGTCAGAAGAAGCTGAACTCTCAAAGTGGAGAGCAGGCCAGCGCTTCATGGGAAGGTTGCCGTGGCTGCTCGTTTGGGGAGAACCGATGTGCCTCGTCTAAGGCCCGAGAGCTGCAGCCTTGCATGGTAATGGTGCTATTCTGCTGTAGGTTGGTGGACCAGAGGGCATTCTGCAGAATGGGGCCGTGGATGACAGCGTGGCCAAGACCAGCCAGTTGTTGGCTGAGTTGAACTTTGAAGAAGATGAAGAAGATACCTATTACACGAAGGATCTCCCTGTGCATGCCTGCAGGTAAGTGCTGATGGCGGAGGTGCAGACTCACCTCCCAGAGCTCTTGCCTTCTTGAGTGGGTTTGCTGGATTTAGAAGCCCATCTAAGATGATGGACTGTGACGTGGTATTACAAAATAAGGTTCTCCAGGCCAGTGTATACGTGGTCCTTGTTACTGGGCAGGAGGGTGGGATCAGCCCCCTCTGATACCCCTGATTCACCCAGAGGGTAGGGGAGAACCTCCCCTTCTCTGCCTTCTCTCAGGTTCTGGTGGTTCCCGGTACCTGTCCCACTCACTCATTCGAAACGAACTCACATTTGGTGAGGACTTGGGTTCAGAGGGTAAACAGCAGCTAAGATTTCTTTTACAAAGAGATGATTGTAGGATACTTTAAAATATCTGCCTCTCTCATGTGTTCAAAATTCCCGAAAAATTGGAATTGAATAGTCAGTGGATAGAACTGCTTTTGACCAGATTTGGAATTCTCATCTAGAGCAGGACCCATCCTTTGTATTTCGACCCTTAAGATTGGACTTCTTACTTTTCTGTTACACGTACACAAGGAAATTGAAACCAAAAGAGATGACTTGATCTTGTTCAGGGCACCTGGCCAGTCAGGGCCACTTTGGGCCTGGGCCATGACACTCTCTTGCCGGCCTCCCAGGCACACTGCCCCTCCGAAGTCTGTGCCCACCACAGGACAGAGTGCTGCTCCTTTCCCTGCTCTGTGGGGAGACGCTTTTTTTTTTTTTAAACTTTATTTTGGCTTTCTGTTTTTAACTTTTATTTTGGCTCTTTTCTCACTTGTTTAAAATTTTTTTACATATGTGTTAGTGATGTGTTAGTGTTTCTGTTACCTACACATTTGCCAGTGAAGTGGTTCTAGTAAAGCTGCAGGTGCTTAATGTTTGCACACCCCCTCACCTGCCCAGCTGTCCCCATGGTGTGGGGTATTGGGGGAAGGTTCTTGTCTGGAGCACATTCTAGTTTGAGACTGAGGCTTGGCTTCATACACATTCAGAACTCTGTGGTGAGCCGGGTTTTGTTTTTGATGTGTTGATTTTCAGAAGAATGAGGCTGGGGGCTCTCTTGAGGTGCTCCTTGCAAGCTTGAGCTCTGTACCCGCACCCAGAGACCCTGTGCTGCTGGGTCTGAGCTCACGAGCGTTCCTGGGAGCATGGCGCCCTCTGCCGGAGAGTGGAGCGCCTTGTGAACGCGGCGTGGTCACAGCTTGACTCTGTGTGCCCAGAGCCAGGGATGGTGATTTCCTTGCTGATAAGTCACGGTTTCTGAAACTTAAGGCCAAACTGGGGTGGCTAGGGGTTGCTTTGGGGCATCAGACCTCTGTTGTTGGGTTCCCCTGGTACCTTCCACAGCTCTCATCCCCCACCTGGCAGGGGCTTTGCTGTTGCCTGGGGCCTCTCTCGGGAACCCCCACAGCACCCTGTACCCTTTCCCTGCATTTGCAGGGTCAGGAAGCCTCTGCAGTTTAACTGATGGGATTTTGCTAGTGGGATCATTGGGTTTGAGTATGTGTTTAATGAAAAATTTAAAAATGTTGTAAGAGGAAAGAATTTTACATCCTGCCAAATTAAAACCAGAGAGAGACCTTCCAGCTTTAACTGTTGATGTTTTGACTTTTTTAGTTACTGCGGAATACACGATCCTGCTTGCGTGGTTTACTGTAACACCAGCAAGAAGTGGTTCTGTAACGGGCGTGGGAACACTTCCGGCAGGTAGATAACCAGACCGTGCGTGTGTCTTTAATCAGTGCTGTGCTCAGATTTGTGTGTAAATTATGGAAATGTTGAAGCAAAAGCACAATGTAAAATCACGCTAACAAACCTGGTTTTTTCCCTCCTCTGTGACTGGTTTAACTTGAAACAGATGGTGGTGTGTGAATGCCTTAATGTATTTACCCTTGATTTATTCTCTGTGGTTCTTTTTATTATGCAAGTAGGGTTGGCTTAATTCTCGTTCCCAGTTTTTATTTATATTTTTCTGCAAGATGAGCTCCTGGCACGCCCGTTCATCTTCATTACTGGGTGCCTGAGGAGGATGTTCCCAAGACAGTAATGGGCATCCATGGGAGCCGCTTCCTGAGAAGGCTCCCTCTGGCCTTAGCTCATTGGAGCAGTCCTGAGGCTAATACGGGCCAGATCCTGAATCATCGGATTAAATTAAGTTCACTTGACTGTCGTCTCTGGGCTTCCCTTCCTGCTGTTGATCAGCAGCAGCTGTGACTGGGTCTCTTGTTTTGTGTTTTGTGTTTGGGGTGAGACCAGTTTTGTGCTGGTGCTTGGATTCCAGGGGAGGATCCAGTCCTGGTGGCTCTTCCAGAGCTGCCGTGGTGTGTGACAGCTCATGACACTGTCATGGAGAAGCAGAGCAGGGTCTTGTGGGACAGGGCTCCAGGCCGCCAGCAAGAAAGCAGCATCTTCCTGGGGCTCGTGTTTTGGAGACATACAGTGACAAAACCCCATAGGCAGGTTTATTTGCACAGAGCCCCCACCCTTCCGGTGTCTTCCACAGCTGCAGGCCAGGCCTCACCATCTCGTGCTGCCTGAGGATACGGTGGTCAGATTTCGTGTCATCTTAAAAGTTAGTGCGAACTGTGGGATTCTGGGTGAGGCAAGAAAGTGGGCTGATGTTTAATTCTAAAGATTTGAAAGGGAAAGCATCTTCAGGGTAACCAGATTCATGTCCCATTTTCAGAATGTTCTGTGTAATTTCAGCGTTACTATGTTTGCATTAGTTCCTCTCCTGCAGGAAAAGCAATTAAATAAAACTTCTTAGCTGGCAACCCCAGCTTCCGGTCAGCAGAGCCAAGATCAGGGAAGTGAGTGAAAGGCTTCTAAGAGAAAACAGATTTCCATCAGCCAGCACCGAGTGTTTGTATGAGACCAGATGGTAAAAATGATGGGGCAGCCACTTGCCTTCAGGGAGCTTCCAGTATAATGGGGTGAGGTGGGCGTAGGAAAGACAAGAGGAAGTCAGAGTCTGGTAAAATGCCCAGTTGTGACAGCTTCAGAAGAGTGGGCGCTTTGTGGGTGCAGAGAGTGGTGACAGCTGGTTAGATAATCTGACTGGCCTCATGGGTTAGAATGGGCCAGAGAGGGTTAGAATGTGGCGTCTGAGCCGAAGCTTGCAACAGAAGGGGTTTCCCCGAGGTCAGGGAGGGCGGCAGCCAGGCAGGCTGGATGCTTGGCAGGCGTGCTCGGAGTCTGACAGAGCCGCAGTAAGGCTGCAGGTAGCTGGGAGGGCCTGAGGCAGAGCCAGGCGCCACCTGTGGACCCCACACAAGGCTGGCTTGTCTTAGGGCAGCGTTTGCAAGCCCTGGGTGTAAGTGAGCTGTGTCCCGGAAATGGGAGGGACAGCAGAGTCCTGGCCACGCGGCAGTAAGGAAAGAGCCGAGACAGTGGGGTTTCAGACAGTTCAGAACCGGCCCTTCGCTTCCTGAAAGTAGCCCTGAGCCCCGCTGCTTAATATTTTTTACTGTCCTCAGGTTTCTAATACGGTTGGTTATCAAGTTTCCTGGCCTGCAGCAGATTAGGAGGGGCTGTTGCTCCTGGAAGCAGGCACAGGGGCCCGGAGAGGTGACTTCGAAAGCAGGGGCAGCAGCCGAGGAGCCTCAGCAAGTGGAGAGGAGCCGTGGAAGGGGCAGGCCGCCTGCCTTGCCATAGGTTCATTCAGGCCCTGTCCATAGGATTTGAGAAAGCAGGAACTAAAAGAAAGAAGCAAGAACTATGTGAAACGTGTTAGGAACGTTTTCCTTAAAGGCTGTTCAAGTCAGATTGATTTTTGCGCTCAGTGGGGAGCCAGTTCAGGGGCGGGCTGGTCCCCCGGGACGCCAGATGGATGAGGTGTGACCGCCCCTGCTAATGGACTGTGAACGGTACCGGAACTTTTAACGGGGGGCTCGAAAATTGGAAGTGGTGAAAAGCCAAACTTTGGGTGTTAACTATTTATCATTTCCTGGTTTCAGCCACATTGTAAATCACCTCGTGAGGGCAAAATGCAAAGAGGTGACTCTGCACAAGGATGGGCCCCTGGGGGAGACAGTTCTGGAGTGTTACAACTGTGGCTGCCGAAATGTCTTCCTCCTCGGCTTCATCCCTGCCAAGGCCGACTCGGTAGTGGTGCTGCTGTGCAGGTGAGGGCGGACGCCCCCCATTCAGCGGGGGCGGCGCAGTTAGCCCCAGCGGGCCGGTTCTGCCGATTAGAGAGGTGTGAGGATATTTGGGGGCTGGGGCTAGTTAGAGAACTGGGAATGCTGAGTAACTCTTTTGGGGTGTGTTCTGGTTAAATCATAAAAAGAATTCTGTAAAAACAGTGTTAGGAGTTTTAAGAGTTCAGAGCTCAAGTGCATGGGGAGAGGCAATGTATTACTAACAATTTAAAGGTAATATGATCACGTAGTAAAACGTAGGGAACGTCACTTGGGGATGAAAGGAAAGGCTTGTGGGCGGAGGTCATCATCCTCACCTGGGCTCTCCCTGCCCTTGGTGTTTCTGTAGGCAGCCCTGCGCCAGTCAGAGCAGCCTCAAGGACATCAACTGGGACAGCTCTCAGTGGCAGCCCCTGATCCAGGACCGTTGCTTCCTCTCTTGGCTGGTCAAGATCCCTTCTGAGCAGGAGCAGCTTCGGGCCCGGCAGATCACCGCCCAGCAGATCAACAAGCTGGAGGAGCTCTGGAAGGTGAGGGCCTGCTGAGAATGCAAATCTGCCTCAGCACGGTTCTTGTCCAGGGAGAGCTGCTGGGAGTGTCTTCACAACAGGAGGTTCTGGAAGGAACTCGAGGGAGAGTCTCTACCTGCAATGGCCCTTTGGTGGAATCCCACAGGCACCTCCTGCCAGGCCTCTAGGAAAGGACAGCTCCAGTTGTTGGAATTTTTCTTCTGTTGCAGAGGGAGAGGGCAAGGGCAAGGGCGAGGGTGGGTGGTGGGAAGGAGGAAGGTCAGAACTGGCCATAGGCGGCTGAGGGTGCACATGGCAGGAGGAGCCGGGCCTGGGGAGACAGGACTGTGAGGGTGCTGCTGTAAGACCTCGTTGGGCTTGTGACGTGTCTGAGCCAGGGTAACACCAGGCCAGGGGTGAATGTCCAGGGGAAAAGGGGTCCAGGTCACAAAGGTCAGAGAAGCAGGGCCTATGGCGGCTGGATGAGTGAAGCGGAGGGGCTTCCAGGTTGGGTGGTGGGGTGCCTGCCCTGCCTGACAGACCCAGTTCTCCAGGAAGCCCTTCTCTGGTTCTGGCCGTTCAGCTTTTATGATAAAGTTTTGGTAATCGGGCTATAAATTTTATTTTATTTTATTTTTTTAAAGATTTTATTTATTCATGAGAGACAGAGAGAGAGGCAGAGGGAGAAGCAGGCTCCCAAGGAGCAGGGAGCCTGATGCGGGACTCGATCCCAGGACCCTGGGATCATGACCTGAGCCGAAGGCAGACGCCTAACCATCTGAGCCACCCAGGCGCCCGGGCTATAAATTTTAATTAGGTGCCCATATAATCCAAAATCTGAAATGTGAGTTTATTTTCACTTTGACTGCAAGTCAGAATATTTCTCAAGTATCATCTAGTAAGGTGCCCTTCTGCTTCGATTTTTGGATGGCCGGAGCTCGTTCACCTTTCCTGTTTATAGCCACACAGCCCAGATACCGTTCTGTCCCTGCCAGGGAGGAGTGTGTCGCCCCTGTCGGTGCAGCACAGGGTCAGGAGGAAATTGGGGGGCTGGTGGGGGGAAGAAGGGCCTCGCCTTCTGTTTACACAAGCAGAGAACTAGTGGTCTTTCTGGCAGCCCGAAAGAGGTATTCTCTCTTTCAGTTCAGGGGCTAGGCATCAGTTGGGGAATGTAGCCATTTGATGGTATAGGCGTGTCGGGCTGTGTCCCTGAGGTGCCATCACCGGTATTCACCCTGTTGGTGTCGCCCTGGGTAGGGGAGGGTTGGGGCAACGACTGAAGGGTGAGCAAAGATCCAGGCCAGTGTCCACCTCCCTGTGCCACATACACTTGCCCACACGAGAACTCTCCTCATGGGGTGGACACCACCAACCACCGGGGCCCTCTGTGTGACAGGCCGGCGTCGGCTTGTTCTGAGAGGTGACAGATAGGCCTTGTTCTTCCAGTGACTAGTGATCCCGCGTGTAGTTCCTTTCGTCTGTAGGCGAAAGTGGGGAAGAGCAGGCGCGGTGCTTGTCTTCTAGGAAAACCCTTCTGCCACCTTGGAGGACCTGGAGAAGCCCGGCGTGGACGAGGAGCCTCAGCACGTGCTCCTGCGGTATGAGGACGCCTACCAGTACCAGAACATATTCGGCCCTCTGGTCAAGCTGGAGGCCGACTACGATAAGAAACTGAAGGAGTCCCAGGTGATGTGGTGTGTGCAGGAGGGTTTCGGTCGTTGTAACAAAGCCTCTCTTCTAAGGTCTGGGGAGGGCGGTTTCCTGTGCAAACTGCGGATGCTGCTGCGGGCCGAGGCGCAGCGCCCGGAGAGACGGAACGGTGGACTGAGGGCAGGCGAGGGAGTGACCCTTGGGCAGACGCCCGGTCTCTCAGAGCTAAACACTGGCCTCAGTGTTTTCTGATTTAAAAGCCAACAAAAATCCCTCACAGTCGCGGTCGCGGCCTTTGCCCACGGCTACAAGAGTCAGAACCGAGGAGCCTGTGGCACACCGAGCGCACCCCTTGTGCCGGTCTCGCGAAGAACACATGGAGGAAGTGGGAGCTCCGAGGGTCGGCCGCCAGCCTCCTTCTCCCTCCGCAGTTCACGGAGAAGCCGCCTCCAAGAGCAGACGTCGTGTGGGGGTCTCCTGGTCATCTTGAGCGGGTTCTGGGGGTCCTAATGGCTTTTCTCCCGGATGTGCCCTTGTTGGTGTCGCAGGCTGTTGGGTGCTGCACACGGCACCCTGACGTCATGGCTCATAAGGTCGCCATAGGGCACACACCTGTGGAAACCCAGACACGAGGAGTCCAGGTCCGTGTCAGTGTCTCAGGCTAACAGGGCTCTTATTTTTCATGTGCTCAGACTCAAGATAACATCACGGTCAGGTGGGACCTGGGCCTAAACAAGAAGAGAATCGCCTACTTCACTTTGCCCAAGACTGACTCTGGTAATGAGGATTTAGTCATAATTTGGTTAAGAGGTGATTTTAAGTTTTAAAATATTTGTGACCATAAGTAGCATAAAATTCCTAGTTTCACCCTTGTAAAGTGTCCCTTAATTTGAACTCTTCATGATGGCAGCCTCGGCACGTGTTGAAAGCGCTAACTTTCTTGCTGTCTTTTCTCTGTAAGACATGCGGCTCATGCAGGGGGATGAGATATGCCTGAGGTACAAAGGGGATCTGGCACCCCTGTGGAAAGGGATCGGCCACGTCATCAAGGTCCCTGATAGTATCCTTTGTGTAAAGATGGGTGAGCTCATCCTGAGCACGGGCGGCCTGTGTGGGGATCGCCGCAGGTAGAGGAGAGGGTGTCGTGGGCGGCCACGTTGGGGGGGCCCCTCTGAGTGGTGTTTGCCACTGAGTCCTTTCTTCAGTTGTATTCGGAGGTGCACCGTGTGTATCAAACTGATCAAAGAGCTGCCTAGCCTGAGGGCAGGGTGCTCCCAGCTCTGCGCCCCAGGTCTCTGGCCGCTCAGCCCGAACCCCGGCCGGCGTGCTCCATGCTGGGCACTGCCCAGGCACTCACAGGGAGGGCGCGGGAGCTGGCAGCAGGGGCCCCGACACTGGGCCGGCGTCTGGCAGTGAGCATGGGCCGGGCGGCTGAGTCTGTGTTTGGTGCAGAGGAGGGTCCTTTTCCTCAGTAACCAAATAAAGGCTCCTCAGAAAGGTAAACTCAGCTTTTGACAACGATGAAACTTAACTCAGCGGCACAGATTATGGCGATGAGATCGCCATTGAGCTTCGGAGCAGTGTGGGTGCACCCGTGGAGGTGACTCACAACTTCCAGGTGGATTTCGTGTGGAAGTCAACCTCGTTTGATAGGTACGTCCACCTTGCCCCTGCCCGCGCCACTGCATCTGCTCTGGGGTGCCCCACTGCCTCCAGCATCTGGATGATTCTCCTCACTTGCGAGAGCCAGGCTTCACCGCTCCATAGTTGTGTATATGCCGCTGACCCCGAGCTTGCCTTCCAGGATGCAGAGTGCGCTGAAAACGTTTGCTGTGGATGAGACCTCTGTCTCAGGCTACATCTACCACAAGCTGCTCGGGCACGAGGTGGAGGATGTGATCATCAAGTGCCAGCTGCCGAAGCGCTTCACGGCACAGGGGCTCCCTGACCTCAACCATTCGCAGGTTCTCACCCCTGCTGGGCGATAGAAGGGGCCTGGCCGGCAGAGCCTGCTTAGGTGGGTGGCCCCCCACTCCCCGGGGGTGGCTGCAGCCTAACAACTGCCTGTTATCCAAAGGTTTACGCTGTCAAGACTGTGCTGCAGAGACCGCTGAGCCTGATCCAGGGACCACCAGGCACGGGGAAGACTGTGACCTCTGCCACCATCGTCTACCATCTTGCTCGGCAGGGCAATGGGTAGGGCTCAGCACGGCCCCAGGTGGGAAGGGAGAGACCTGTCTGCCGGGACGCCTGGGGGCCCCCGTTATCTGGCGCTGTGTGTTTTACATTATTTGTATGTGATCTGGTCTCTGTGGTTGCTTTTCACAAGCAAGCCTGCTGCTCTGGTAGAGGCAGCGGTGGGGTGGTGGGGCGGTGGGTCACTGCATCCCGAGTGTTGGGCCTGTGCGCATCGCAGAGCTTTGAGAGGCTTTATGGTGCGGACCCAGGAGGGTGAGGAGGCAGGATTCACTTAGTAGCGTTGCTGTACATGAGAAGTGTGAAAACCAGCTGGGAACAGGAAGCTCCAGACCAGTTGGATTTCAGCTCCTTCAGCTTTGTTCACTGACTTTAGTCTTAGGTCACCAGTTGGGGGGCGTGCTTCACTGCCTAGGATTCAGAACAGCAGTCCTGGCAGTGAGTGTTTCCTGAACTTCCTCTGGCTGAGCTCTGAGACGTTTGTTCACCTTGTGTGTTGAAGGCCTGTGCTTGTCTGTGCCCCGAGTAACATAGCTGTGGATCAGCTGACTGAGAAGATACACCAGACTGGGCTGAAAGTCGTGCGGCTCTGCGCCAAGAGCCGCGAGGCCATCGACTCCCCAGTGTCCTTCCTGGCCCTGCACAACCAGATCAGGAACATGGATAGGTGGGTGTTGGGTAGCCTGCCTCGAGTACAGCACGTCTCCTGTGCGCGGTCCCTGGTGACGCCTGGCTCCCGTGCCTGCTGACGTGTTGCCATGCTTCCAGCATGCCGGAGCTACAGAAGCTACAGCAGCTGAAGGACGAGACGGGGGAGCTGTCCTCTGCTGACGAGAAGCGGTACCGGGCCCTGAAGCGCACCGCCGAGAGGGAGCTGCTCATGGTGAGCACTTAACCTCTAGGCTGTTTGGTTCCATTTGGCCGTGGGACCTCTTGCAGTATGCGGAGCATGCCATGGAGCCTTTACATCAGTTTAGTTTGCTTTTGAGAAAGAACTTCTATACCTCCCGTATTTGCCTTCTCAGTGGTTGTACATCTTGGCCTGGAGGTGGGTCTGGAACACTCCCCTGCTCTTTTGTAACAGACCAACCAAGGTTTCCCCAGCTCAGCACTGCCTCTCAGAGGCTGTCTTGAGGCACAGAATCACATCTGTGCTGAGAGGTTTTTGTGATGAAGCGTGATCACTTAGGGTCTCAAAAGGTAGTGCCACTGCAGCCTGGATGTAGATGCATCCCCCAGGTGGGACAGTGGCCTGTTTCCATAGGTGTCGGGGAGGGTGCCAATCAGTGTCCTGTCCAGCCTGCCCTTTGGGGCCTGGTAGCATTTACCGTGCAGGTTCCCTGATGCCTTGCCTGCTCTCGTCTCCAGAATGCAGATGTCATCTGCTGCACGTGTGTGGGTGCAGGGGACCCGAGGCTCGCCAAGATGCAGTTCCGTTCCATTTTAATTGATGAGAGCACCCAGGCCACCGAACCAGAGTGCATGGTCCCTGTGGTCCTTGGCGCCAAGCAGGTGGGCCATTCACTGTCGTCCTGTTTGAAAACCAGTGTGTGTTCTCTTGTTCCAGTTCCATGTCATTCTCAGTGCTGGGGGTTCGTTTCTGATAATGCTCTGTAATGCCGTGTGATGTCCTGGCAGAGGAGAGGGGTCCCCAATGGGCTCATTGAGTGGTTCTTGGAAGGATGGGTGCCACACAGAGCACCTCTTGTGGGTCCTGAGTGCAAGTTTGTGTGTTTCATATATAGGTTTCCGAAAGTGAAACACTGCTTTGAAACCTCTCATAAGCCAAAATGGGATAAAGGGAAGACTATCCCTACTTTCTGAAAGTTCTTATTAACACCACTTTTGCTTTTACAAAAGACCTACGTTAGTACCTGTTTTTGACAACCAAAAGAAATCTGAAGAGGATCCTTGCTTTTGATGACAAAATGACAAAATGACAAAAGCCATTACCTCTAACATAGGTCTTTCGTAAAAGAGCAATGGCATGACACGAACTTATTTAGGAAAGCTGGATGCTTCTGTGGTGGGCGGTGTCCTGTGCTGGTCACCTCTTCCTGGTTGAATTCATGTGGCTGGGTGGTTGTATAACACCAGGGCCCCTTGGTACCACGTGAGTGGACGTCTGTGCGGTTTCACACCTGAGCTCCTCAACTGTGTGGGCCTCTCGCCACAGCTCATCCTCGTGGGTGACCACTGTCAGCTGGGCCCTGTGGTGATGTGCAAGAAGGCAGCCAAGGCCGGACTATCTCAATCACTCTTCGAGCGCCTGGTGGTGCTGGGCATCCGTCCCATCCGCCTGCAGGTCCAGTATCGGATGCACCCTGCGCTCAGTGCCTTCCCATCCAACATCTTCTACGAGGGCTCTCTCCAGAATGGCGTCACTGCAGGTAGTGCTCAGCCCAGAGTGGGGGGCCCGGAGGGAGTGCAGCCTGGGGAGATGAAACCCGTTGTCACGGCCTAAGCGGCCTTACATGGTGATCACTTATGTGTAGGGGGCACCTCAGAGAGGTACAGTGGTCTGCGGGATGGCATGTCCGCTCTGGAGTGTGGGACGTCCTTGGCCTGTGGTCAAGGGGGAGCTTGTCCTTGTAAAATGCAGGGTCACTACATGAGAATTCACACTGGGGGCCTATCACACGGTGGGCAGAACAGGAGGTGGCTGAGCTGACCGTGCCTCCCACTCCTCACCCTGGTGCTCTCACAACCCGGGCCCTGGGGCTTCACAGGACTGAGGCCAGAACTACTCTCATAGTAACACTGAGGGATCGTGTGCCCTTTTGCCATGCGGACGCTCATGCTGAGGGTACAGAAGCAACCCTGGAGGGCTGGCTGGTGCCTCGACATGAGTGGGGACAGTGCTGCCAGACTGCCATGTGTCGTCACCACCACATGCTTGCAGCAGGCAAGACCCTAAATGCGTCAGTGGAGAGTACTCACTTTACTAACCCCTTGGGTGCCCATCCGTATGACCCTGTGCGTGATGAGGTAGGGAGTTCTAAGACACTTGAAGGGTGTGGTAGGTGCTTTTTTTTTTATTATTATTTATTTTTTTTTTAAAGATTTTATTTATTTATTTGAGAGAGAGAGAAAGCACATGAGAGGGGGGGAGGGTCAGAGGGAGAAGCAGACTCCCTGCCGAGCAGGGAGCCCGATGCGGGACTCGATCCCGGGACTCCAGGATCATGACCTGAGCCGAAGGCAGTTGCTTAACCAACTGAGCCACCCAGGCGCCCGGTAGGTGCTTTTAAAAGGACTCAGGGACACAGTATGGTCGGTCATTCAGATGGGTTGAGTTCAGCAGGTGCTTTGCCAGAAATGGTCAAAGTGAGTCAGCCCATGGCTTCAAGGAAAACAATTGACAGTATTTATCTCCAGTGATAAAACCTGAGGATTCAAAATGAAAATCAGAATTTTGGAAAACTCATGTCCCTAATCTGGGCTGACCAAGTCTTTCCAATGCTGAGTGGCTTTTCTGGTGGCATCTGTGGTGGTGCCAAATGTCCGTGAGGCATGCGAGTCTTTGGGAGCTCTGCTTGGCTTGGTGAGCAAGTACTTCCCATTCTGATGGCCAGCAAGGGCATTACAAAGTCAGAGACCGTCCCAAGGGCAGGGCAGAAGAGAAAAGCCAGCATCACGAACTTGCAGGGTGACCTCCTGTCCAGCTTTGGTCTGGAATTGGTCAGAACCTCACGGTTGTGGGGAAAGTTATAAAACACTCTTCCCTTTTCCAACTACGTGCATCTGTGAGGCTCGATAGTCCTACTGCAAGGGCTGATGGGAGACTGAGCACAGAAGCAGAGTCAGCCATGTCGCTAACTGATTTGCAGAAACTCAAGAGATACATATTTTATTGGGAAATGTTATTTTTTTTTTTTTAAAGATTTTATTTATTTATTCATGAGAGACACAGAGAGAGAGAGAGAGAGAGAGGCAGAGGGAGAGGCAGGCTCCCAAGGAGCAGGGAGCCCGATGTGGGACTCGATCCCAGGACTCCGGGATCATGACCCGAGCCGAAGGCAGACGCTCAACCATCTGAGCCACCCAGGCGCCCCGGGAAATGTTATTTTTTATAAAATATGTTTTTGGCTGATATGTGTATTTTTAAAGGAATTCATAAATATTTTATGTTTCTAGGTTTTAAAATACAGTAAATGTCAGTTAGATACAAGCTATGCAAATGGTAGCTGCTTGGATTCCTCAACTTTTTAGGGTGTATAAGGGGTCCTGAGACTGGCGTTCTTAATGTCTGGTTAATGCCAGCAGCCTGCCATGTCGGCCTTGTCCCGGCCTGCCGTCTGGGTGAGACGGAGGCTGAGTGCCCGCCTGGCCCGGCCGTGCGGCCCTGGGGGTTGATGGCACTGTTACCATCACCATCACCGTGACACTTAGAACAGTGCTGGTCCATTGGGTGGTGGGGCAAGGAAAGGCCAGCCCACAAGGAGCTTGTTTGCCATTTGACACTAGTTGGGAAAGCCACTGCTTAGCAACAATTCTGGACCTTGCTGGCCCTACTCTGCCTTCCTCCGTGGCGGCAACTCTGGGGGGCAGGGAGCCGTAGTGCTGGTGGTTCCCTGCAGTGTCCTGTGTGCCTGGCACGTGGTCAGCACCCAGTAAGTACTTACGCGTATGTGTATGTGTATTTTTTTTTTCCATTAAAAAATTTATTTATTTTAGAGTGAAAATGAGCATGAGCGGGAGGGGCAGGGAGAGGGAAGAGAGAATCTGAAGCAGATTCCACACTGAGCACAGAGCCCAACACGGGGCTTGATCTCTTGACCCTGAGATCATGACCTGAGCAGACGCCAGGAATCAGACACTTAATTAACTGTGCCACCTAGGTGCCCTGAATACATATTTTTAAGTTCTTCATTAAAGTGTAAAGAAGCGCCCAAATCCTGTGTTCAGCTTGGTGAGTCTTCTCTAAGTGAACACACCTGTGTAATTAGTATCTGAACCCAGAACACAGCCTGACCAGCTCCCAGGAGCCCCCTTGAGCCCCGAGGTGGCCCCTGCCCAAGGCAGTGCTGGCACCCACCCAGACTCCCTCTTGGGGTAGCCTGACATTAGCTGTGGCAGGAGCATTATAGACCAGCCCTGCCCCCACCACCCCCAGTGGGCAAACGTTTGCCGGCAGCCCCTGGGCTAGTGTGCCACTGAGCTAGCCAGTTGGCTACTGCCCTTGCGAGAAGGATGGAGATGGATGTGGCCTCTTTCTCAGCTTGACATAAAGTGGATCATTGATGTTAGGCTGTTTTGATGCAAAAATGCCATTTTTCTCGTGCTGATCTGTTGATAAGATGCAGCTCCAAAATTCCCAAAGGGGTGAGTGGGGCGTGTGAATGGACGAGCTAATTTTTTAAATTATAAGGAAATAAATGCACAGGGCCCAGAATAGCCAAGGTGAACATGAAGAGCCCAGTGGAGGTGGTAGCTTACACTACCACATGTCCTGAGTACTGTAGAACTGCAATTGCCAGGGTTCTGTGGGCATGGTGCCCAAGGTAGAATCCAGAGGCAGGCCCACCCGTCCGTAGGCTTTGGCCTGTGACAGGATGAGATTGACTCAACAGTGTCATCCACAAAAGCCAGTTGGAGGGACTTATGGGTCCTTTAAGGCACCACAGTAAAGCTTCTAGAAGAAAACAGAATATCTTTGTGACCCTGGGGTAGGCAGAGATTTCTTAAACAAGCCACAGAAAGCATCAAGCGGTGAGATAATGTTCAGGGAGTGAGCCAGCTTTGTGCACTGGGTAGCTGGATGTTGGTATGTGCAGCTTCCCTTCATCCGAGGCATTCTGGGGCAGTGGACCTGCTCCAGTGGCCTCCTCAGGGCCCCGTTGACCACGGTCTCTTGCCCGAAGCCTACTGTTAACTGCTCTGGCACAGGCCTCTGCCTGTGATGGCCCGGTCTCTGTGTTGTTCCATCAGCACTCAGTCAAGGGCTGTGGCTTTTTTCTCTAATGGGTAGTGTTGCCTTTTTTCCCTCCCCGGTGACAGCGGACCGAGTGAAGAAGGGGTTTGACTTCCAGTGGCCCCAACCTGATAAGCCGATGTTCTTCTATGTGACCCAGGGCCAAGAGGAGATTGCCAGCTCAGGCACCTCCTACCTGAACAGGTAAGCGGAGACTCGCCCTCAGCATCTGCAGGCTTCAGTGGCAGCTTGGCACTACGTTTTCTACCGTGGTGCTGAAGTTTTTCCTCGCCCTCCTTGTCCCCATTCTGTGTGGACACCTAAACCAACAGCGTATTTCCACCTTGCATCTTCAGTGTGGGTTCTTCTATTGAGCAGATACTGCTAAGCCCACGTGTGAGCCTGTCCCGTCCCCTGTGACTCCCTTGGTAAATGATGGGGAGCCTGGCTGTGGGCGCAGCGGGTAAGGCCTTCTCAGGGCTTCCCCGGAGGTGGAGCCGGCCCTGCACCTCCCATAGGCTCCAGCCTTGGTCTCGGGCCCGCGGGGGCAGCCCAGGAGCTGAAAGGTGGGTTTTCTTAGGACGGAAGCTGCCAACGTGGAGAAGATCACCACGAAGCTGTTGAAGGCGGGTGCCAAGCCTGACCAGATCGGCATCATCACCCCGTACGAGGGCCAGCGCTCTTACCTGGTGCAGTACATGCAGTTCAGCGGCTCCCTGCACACCAAGCTCTACCAGGTGCGCGCACCCACTCAGGCCTGCCGGCTCCCCCCACCTGGCCTGCGGCTGTGCCGGCACTGGCCTGAGAGGGCGCGTGTTCCTTCAGGCTTTTCTCAGGATAGTTTTCAGAGCTAAACTGAAAATAATTCCGAGTCGAACCGTACAGTATGATTATGAGGCAGCCTTAAAGTGGATGTTATGTAGTCATGAAAGTGTAATTCACCCCTGTATCCTTGCCTGGATGAAATGTCCAGGATGTGTGTGCTGAAAGGGTGCGGGACAACATCATTTTTTATCTCTGCGGAAATGAGCCAAAATGCAAAGTAGCAACTGAGTGAGGATGACAGGTGGTCTCTATTTTGTTAACTTGGGTCCAGTCTAAGGTCTTTTATGGCAAGCACGTATGCTTTTATTATTGGGAAACAAATTGCCACAGTTAAAAAGGCAGCTGAAGCACAGGAAAGCCAGGAGAGTGGGGCTGGGGACCATGAAGGCCCAGTGGGAGCAGGCCCAGCCAGAGGGGCTCTGTCCTTGCTGTCCGGAGGTGCAGCGAGCAGGTGGGTGGCATGGGGGTGCTCTGTAGGCTTCAGGTCCCAGGCTCCTTGGAGGGATTGGACAGTGCACCTCAACAATGTTCTCACAGTCTGAGGGTCCTTGAAGGCAGCCAGCTGGCTGACTGTGACCGTGTGTCCCTTGTAGGAGGTGGAGATTGCCAGCGTGGACGCGTTCCAGGGGCGAGAGAAGGACTTCATCATCCTTTCCTGTGTACGAGCCAACGAGCACCAAGGCATCGGATTTTTAAACGACCCCAGGCGACTTAATGTGGCCCTGACCAGAGCGAGGTACAGAGGACTGCATCCCGTTGGGCCTTGTTGGTGGCAGGTGCCTCTCTCCTGCCATGGGAGTTCTTCGGAGGGACTTTTCCCTTAGAGTCTGGAGCTGGGAGGGTCCGCCCCAGAGCTGCTTCCTGCCTGGTTTGCCTCTTCATCTGGTTCTTCTTGCACCACACCTGAACCTTGGGCTGCAGTTGGGGCAGGACTAGGCTTCGCCAGCGCCAGAGGTCATAGCGCTCCCAAGCAGCAGTTTAGAGAGAATGCCTCCCCATGAGACGCCTCTGTTTCATGTCCTGGTGGGTTTGTGTGGCCTCAGTTTTGTGGGAAGGGTCATCTAGGCCCTTTTGACCTAAGAAACCCACTAGTGCAGGTTGTGTCCACATGGAGACATTGAATCCCTGAATCTTACCTTTTGGTCTTGTCTACCTTTTTGGCCCTAGAATGTAATGTTTTTTGAAATAACAATGATAGCAGAGGGGACCCAGAGAATAAGGTGGCCCTTTGTCACCTTTGAGTAAAACCAGATTGCAGCTGCCCCCATACCAGCCAGAAATCAGGCTCGCTTCACACATTGGTTCCTTCCCCTGTCAGGACATCTTGCTTGTTATCTGTTACCACCTCCCCCCTTTCTAAGGTGCTGTCTTGTTTGGTGGCCAGCACTGGAGCACAGGGGTCCTGAAACAGCTCGGTGGGGTGAGCGTCCACCAGAGAAGCCAGTCCCTGGCTTGGTCATTGAGGTCTGTGCCCTGGCCTGTCGGGGTTCCCGAGGCCGCGGAGCCTGCTGGGGCTGACCTCCCAGGAGGCCGACCCGTGGCTGCAAACAAGGAGACTCGTCTGAGCTCCTCTGCTCAGGGAGGTGTTTTGATGTCTGGGCTCCTCAGAAATCGTCTGCAGGGCGCCTGGGTGGCTCAGTCGTTAAGCGGCTGCCTTCGGCTCAGGTCATGATCCCAGAGTCCTGGGATCGAGTCCCACATCAGGCTCCCTGCTCAGCGGGAAGCCAGCTTCTCCCTCTCCCACTCCCCCTGCTTGTGTTCCTGTTCTCGCTGTGTTTGTCTCTGTCAAATAAATAAATAAAATCTTTAAAAAAAAAAAATTGTCTGCAGATATACCCAGTGCACTGTGGGCAGCTTGCGTGGTGGGCTCCAGTGCCAGGTCACCGTGACCAGCAGTATGCCCTTCTGTCCCCGGCACTCAACGGTGGGCGCTGTCATGGGCAGGCCGGGCATCTGGGCAGGGAGGCAGACAGGGTGCCAGGAGAACGGCCCATCACCTTGGATATGGATTTTGAGTTTTTGTTCAGTCTTGCTTCATTGTGTTATATGGTGTTCCACTCACCACGCAGAGCCCCAAACACCGTGTTTTCGTGCCCACACCCTGCAGGTATGGGGTCATTATTGTGGGCAACCCGAAGGCCCTGTCCAAGCAGCCGCTCTGGAACCACCTGCTGAACTACTACAAGGAGCAGAAAGTGCTGGTGGAGGGGCCCCTGAACAACCTGCGGGAGAGCCTCATGCAGTTCAGCAAGCCCAGGAAGCTGGTCAACACCATCAACCCGGTGAGTGGCGGCGGGTGGGGTGGCAGGAACACAGGGCCCGGCTGCAGTTCATGGCGTGTGGCAGTGGGTGGCGGCCGGTGCGAGTTGAGTTGTCACAGAGCTCCTCCGCCCCGCATCTCCAAGCTTTTCCACTTGGCCTTCTGGGATGCAAAGTCATGGGTGGCGCCCAGGAGTTGGACACAGGCAGTTAGGAAACCCTGTGAACCCAGGGTGCTCTGGGGGACCTAGAAGCTGTGGTGCTGCTTGAGGTGAAGCCTGAAGACAGAGTTCATGCAGCATCAAAGGCCAGGTCCGTGGGGGAGGGGCGGGCAAGGCCCAGAGCCCACCAGTCAGCAAGCCTTAGGGTCGGCCTAGGCGTGGCCTGGCCTTCAGATCTTGAGAGAGTTGTTCTTGTGTCGAGGTGGTAAATTCCTCACCTGTCTGAACCCTTTGCAGGGAGCCCGCTTCATGACAACAGCCATGTATGATGCTCGGGAGGCCATTATCCCAGGATCGGTCTACGATCGGAGCAGCCAGGGTGAGTCTGCAGGGGACCACGTGGGCCCTGTGGATGTTGATCATTCCCACGCCTGCAGCTTTTGGCCCTGTCACTCCTGGGGTCAACTCCCACGCCTCAGTCCACAGAAGCCTGCCTGACAGTTCCTTCTCACCTTCCCTTGTCTGAAATCAAAGAATTGGTCTTTGCCAGTGTCTAAATATACATTTTTTAAAAATATCACAGCTCTGCTTATGGAGGGTTGCAAGCAAATACTGTAGCTGTGCCTGTTTGCTCCTGGGCCCCAGGCCACGGTGTTCCCCTCCCCCTGCCCTTTGCCCACCCGGTGGGAGGGGTGCCACTGCAGCTCCTCCAGGCTGCCCACAGTCTCGTTCGCCGGTCTTCCCGTTTCTGCTTGCTCTCTCAGACCGCTCTCCTGTGTAGGGTCTCTGTCCTGAAGCTGAACATTACCCCTGCTGTGTGCAACATCTCCTCTTGCCTGAGCCAGTGTCTGGATGGTTCCCATTCATCCCCCAGATCCCTGCCTCCTGGGACCCTTCCCCGCACCAGCCTCTACAGACGGTGACTGGCTCACCCAGGTGCTTGGTGTTACACGCCCGCATTTTACACTGAGCTTCATCCCCTCGTGAGCTCACTGGCCATCCTGGGGCTGGGTGCACCCCAGCAGTTCCTCTCACGTGTGAAGTGAGCAAGCCCCCGCTTTCCTTGCTCGCCCAGTATTCTCCTGGTTGTTGGGTCAAGTGACAAATCTCATTGCCACATCCAGTGAGTTGCCGTGTAGGGTGCTCTGGGTCCATCTTCAATCCTTGAGCTCACCATGAGCCCAGCTAAGGCTCTGGGCCCTTGGGGGCGGACCAGAAGGCTGTGCTTGTCATGCCTTGGCTCCCTTTGACTTCCCAGGCCCTGGGGCAGCTCTGTGCAGATTGGGATATGCCTAGCCCGGCGGGGGGTGCCTGGGGGCCTTCATTTTCAATGGGATCCGCTGGTCTGTTCAGTCAGGTGTTTTCTTGCTTTTGGTGGTAATGGTAGAGGGGTTGCAGGTAATATGAGTATAAAATTTTCTCCACAAAGAACTTTTTTTTTTTTCAATTGGAAATGCAACGTAGCTTCAATCTTTTGGGTGCTTGTAGGCCAGGGATTCTCCAAATCCCCTGGGAGAAAAGGCTTGTTCCCAGGAGCCAGCTCCAGGGAGGCTATCAAGAGTGGGGGTCGAGTGGTGAGATTCTGTATCACTCAGGTGGCTTTGCTGTCGGGCTGCCCTGAGAAACACTGTGGCAGTCGGAGCAGTGGCAGGATGCGAGTGACATTCCAGCCACTCCAGCTGCAGTTGGTGGGGCAGGCAGCAGGCTTGTTGGGATGTGGCAGTGATGCCAGCCATCCACCTTGTGTCTTGCAGGCCGGCCTTCAAACATGTACTTCCAGACCCACGACCAGATCGGCATGATCAGTGCAGGCCCCAGCCATGTGGCCGCCATGAACATTCCCATCCCCTTCAACCTCGTCATGCCCCCCATGCCCCCACCAGGGTATTTTGGACAAGCGAACGGGCCAGCAGCAGGTGAGCACCAGGCGGCAGCACGTCGGAAAAAGCACGTTGGTGTTGGAGTTTGTTCAAGTCTGGGCTTTGGGCAGCTGGGCTTGTCGGTTGTGTGCAGATCTCCTTCAAGGAACCTGGACTGCTGTCTTTCAGGCCGGGGTACCCCAAAAGGCAAGACTGGTCGTGGGGGGCGCCAGAAGAACCGCTTTGGGCTCCCTGGACCCAGCCAGACGAATCTCCCCAACAGCCAGGCCAGCCAGGACGTGGCTTCCCAGCCATTCTCCCAGGGCGCCCTCACCCAGGGCTACATCTCCATGAGCCAGCCCTCCCAGATGAGCCAGCCTGGCCTCTCCCAGCCCGAGCTGTCCCAGGTGAGCCGGCCGCAGGGAGGTCAGGACAGCCGGGACTGACCCCCCATACTCACCCCTGCAGACCTGAGCACGGCTCCGCCTGGCCTTCTGCATAGGTCCACTCTCAGCAGGGGGGCTGGGGGGCCTAAAGCATCACCTTCCCGATGCGGTCTTAGGCAGCTGGCCTGGGTGACCTGTGTCCGATGGTGGGGTAACCAGTGTGGGTCTCCTGCCACTTAGGCTTCAGAACTGGGTTTTCCAGATTCTTCTCTGGGGCAGGTACTTGAGACTAGAAGGACGTGAGCACATTCTCCCAAGTGGATGCTTATCTCCCCAACTTTGTTTTTCAGGACAGTTACCTTGGCGATGAGTTTAAGTCACAGATTGATGTGGCACTGTCGCAAGACTCCACGTACCAAGGGGAGCGGGCATACCAGCACGGCGGAGTGACAGGGCTGTCCCAGTACTAGAAGGCAAGCTGACCCCTGCAGGAGGTCTTCATCATCAGGATCTGGACTTGATGGGAAATCAGGGAAATGTGTGGTAGGGGTCTCAAGTCCCCAAGAGGCCAGCTTGTCCTGTGGCCGGCCATTTTGGCCCCTGTGCATCTGCTCGTGGTGACGGGGATAGGAGCTTCATGCACAGCTCCCTGCGTGGTGGTCCTTTCCTGAGAGAGTTCTAGGACTCCGTGAGGAAGGGGTGGGTGTGGGAGTCCTGTCCCAGCTACACGGGGCACCTCTGCACGAGGGGTTTCAGGGTGCCGTTAAGACCCTGACAGAGGTCCCCTGAACGTGGCGTGACCAGAGCTGGGTGAGCCTGGGCCCAGGTCCCTTCCTTGTGTGTGTACTGGATGAGTTGGGGTGCTGGTGCCACTGGCAGAAGGGCCCCTTAACTCCCAGCTTCCTTCTCCTTGGCGTGGGGAGTCACTAGTCTGGGCATCCACCCAGCCTCCGAGGTTCCATTTCACAAGTGCACAGTGGGGTGAAGGGAGGAGCCCTGCACCTTCGGGGCCGGGGTGGGGGGGTCCCTGAGCCGCTCTGATGGCCCCCTGCCCTCCTCCCTCCCTGCAGGTGGCACAGCGGAAGAGCTAAGCTATGTGGCTTAGTCCATCAGCATCTTATTCTGGGTAATAAAAAATAAAAATAAATGGATACCTGTTTTCCACTGCTAAAACTGAAGCACCACTGTGAGCAACAGGAGAGGGAGAGGAGCACCCGAGGGAGAGAGGAGCCCGAGAGCGAGCGAGCGCCCACTGCTGGCCCGCGGCGGCGAGGAGAAGGAGAAGGGAGAGCGGGAGGCGGGCGGCCGCGGAGGACCGTCCGCCAGCGAGCCCTGCCAGGCTGCCCCGCTCGCCAAGGAGGCCCAGCGCTCGCCGCGTGCACACCTGGGTCTGCGACCAGGGCGGAGGGAGGCACACCCTCATCTCAGAGTAGCCCTTTCCTCTGTTCTTTTCTTTCTGTTTCTCTTTTATTGAAAGGGGACTACGTTTTAGCAGGAAAAACTTCGCATTTCTGTGCCGAGCAGGCTCCTTGCCGGGGCGGCCGTGCCAGGAGAGCCCCACGGAGGTGTGGGTTCTGTCCACGCCAGCTCTGCAACGGCTCTGGTCACGCTGCCTGTGGTCTAAGAGGGTTTCATTTGAAGAAAACACGGTGTTTGGGGTTTTTCTGTTTGTTTTTTAAAGATTCTTTCAAATGAGTACTGAAAAATATACTTTCCTGAGTTTGTCTCTCAAATCTTAGTGGTGGACCTGGGAGATGTGAGAAGCTTCCAGAAACGAAGTTTAAACAAGCCAACACATCTCAAGATTAGGATCGACACCTGTGACGGGATCGCGAGGAGAAATTTTGTTTTCAGTTTTAGCTTCCAGCGGCTTCTCCCTGCACGTCAGGGCGGTGAGAGAGCACGGTCTCGTCCGGGGCCAGGCAGCCCCACGGTCTCCGCTGGACTCTGAGAAGCCAAGTGCTTCCTGCGCGGCGGACTTGTGCCCCACCCGCCCCGGGGATGGGCCTTGGGCAGGACTGGCTGTGTGAGGCCAGAAGGTGGGGAGGTGGCTATTCCCGGCCAGTGGCTTCTTCCCTGGGATCCTTCCTGAGGATTTGGTGGAAGACAGCCTCCAAGAGGACCCATCCCCAGGGAGGCGCTCACAGTCCCCGTGGCTGGTTGGACATGCCGAGCGCCCCACCTGCCTTGTTCTCTACCCCACCCTCCAAGTTCAGAGACCTTCTACCTGTGGGTACAGCTGTGATGGGGTGGGGTGATTTCTGCTTTTTCGGGGAAAAGGAGTTTCAGAAATAAGTTGGTTCTATGCCGAAGGGGTTTGGAGCAGTTTGTCACATCAGCTAGTAGAGGGGGCTTCTATCTGGTGGGGTCTGGGCCACAGCTCAAGAAGTTACTGTAGCTGGGAGAGCCACCCCCAGCTCCTTGCACACCACGGTGGGGGTAGTAGTCTCCCTGACAACCATCTACTTGGGGACCATCCCCTGCCTACGCAGGCCCTGGTGACCCTAACCACACACACCCCCACCCCCCCAGCGTCCCCGTCCCTGTGAGGCTGACGCCCTTATCAAAGCCTCCAGATTCCAGCTTGTACTTGGGAGACGGGGACACACGGCCACCTTCCTTCTGGCTAGGCCTCTTATTTATTACCATTGCTGTAGGGCTTTCGGTTTTCCCCTTCTTTTGGTAGGCCACATAGAGGCATAGAGTTTGGATAGGTTTCCGCTATGGCCCCTTGTGCGACACCCCGTGGGCAACACCTGTGCCCACCCACCTGCCCTGTTCTGTTCCTTGGAATGCTTTGCCTCTGCTTTGTGCTGTTTGCTTTGTTCTCCACCTTCATAGCAGCAGTTATTGTTTTCCAAATTGAGGAGCATCTGTACCAAGGCAATGTAACTTTTGATTTCTGGTCGATTTGTTTTAAGCTCAATTGTCACCAATAAAATCTTAATAAACAGCTCTTGTGTTCACACTGGGGCAGATGAACTGCAGGGAGATGGCAGAGCTCTTGGTCCGGGGGCCTGGCTTTTTGGAAGCCTTGGGGTCACCTGGACGGCAAAGCTGAGAATGGCTAGATCGTTCAGCACCGCAGGGACTGGGGGCGGGGGGGTTACCAAGGCCCCTACATTGGGCAGTGCCTGGGCCTGCTGTAGGCAGCTCCCAGGCTCTTGGGCAGGTTAGCTGTTGGGCTACCTGGAGATTGGGATGTAGGACCCCAGCCCTGGGAGAGCTAGGCAGGTGGCATCACTGGGGGGGGTCACTGTCCCACCACCTTGGCTGCTTCCTCTCCCGCCCCCAGGCGACCAGACGGGAGACAGGGGAGCGGACCACGCAGTGTTTATTGTCTGGGCCCCCATCTGGCTCCGTCAGCGGCAGCCACACTCGTCCACCACCATGTCCTCGTAGTGCCGCAGGACCACGTTGTCGCTGTTGTCGAAGAAGAGCACGGAGATGGGCGACAGGCGCGCGGGCACGCAGCAGGGCAGGCCGCCGGCGCCGGGGGCAGCCGCGTGCATGAGCGCGCGCAGCACTGCGTGGTTGAGCGGGGCCGTCCCGCCGGGGCCCGACAGCGCTGCGGGCAGCGCGCACTGGCCCTGGCAGTAGTTGGCCAGGAAGCCGCGCGGCGCGATGACCCAGCGGTGCCAGCCCACCTCGCGGAAGCTCACGTAGAGCCGCCTCGTGCGACACGCGCCCCCGGGGCTGCCGCCCATTGCGGGCTCGGCTTCGCGCCGCGGCCGGGCCAGCGGGTGGCACAGGCGCGGGTCGAGGGTCACCAGCAGCAGCGAGGCCTCGGCCAAGTGCGCGCAGGCGGCGGGGGCCCGGGGGCGCAGCGCCAGCGCCAGGCGGAGGCTGCGCGGCGCCGACGCGTTGCGGGGCCAGGCGGCGCCCAGCAGCTCGGCGCGCACCGGCGTTCGCAGGGTGGGCACCGCTTGACGGAGCAGCACCGGCCCGGCGCCCGCGCCGTCGCCCTCCGCTGCCTGCGTTATGCTCAGCTCCCATCCGAACGGCGCCTCCGCCGCCGCAAAGCGCAGCTCCAGGCGGGCTCGGCTAGGGCGCTCTGCAGGTTCCACGGCCGATAGATCGAAGACGACGGTCCACTCAGGGCACTGCCCCGCGGCCCGTGCGGGCTCCGGGGGCCGGGTGGGCGCACCTGGGGAGGCAGGGAGAGGGCTGAGCTCGCGCTGCGCTCCCGCGGCCTGCCTGGCCTGCCCGCGAGGGGGTTTCTGCTGCGGACCGGGAAAGGTGAGCGCCTGGGGCTGGGGGCGCCAACCGTTAGAAGGCGTCAAATGGTGTGA